TCGAAATGATAGTTTACTCAACTAATTATAAACCAAGATACTACTCGGAACCCAACCTTTCTTCGTATATTTAAAAAGTAGACCACGGTTTAGCAATGAATTTCGCGAAGTCTTGCTACCCAAATACTTTTCCTTTCCAAGAGAAGGTACAGATACCCACTGGGCTGGGTCTAGGCAGTATCATAAACGCGATCAGATATCGGGTCGAGTGCATAAATGACATAATTCACTATTGCGCCAGGAAACAATGGGTGCCAGTTGAAAAAAGGGCGGATTATAGTGAAATTGGGTTTCGAAGAATTTCATAATAGATTGTTGTTAGATTATCTTTCGTTTAGTTTTGAAGAGGCAAGACTTCGCGAAATTCAATGCTAACCAGAGGTCTACTCTTTGCAGATGCGAAAAAAGGTTGGACTTCGAGGAATATCTTGGTTTATAATTAGTTGAGTTAACTTTCACTTAGACTGAAGATGTTTGCTGCAGAGATTCGAAGTTCGCTACCAACAAAAGACGACGGAGTATTCCTCTTGACCAGATATCAATAGGCTTTACTGCTACATTTTTATTGAAACTGTTTACGAGGCAATCTCTTTCGATTCCAAAGAAAATTAGATAAACTCTTATCCGTTCTATGACATAAATCACCAGAACTTTGTATCCTCCATACAATCATATTCAAGTGTTTTCTTGACTCGTTAGCTCAGACGAGGTTGTAAGAATGATATGTGAAGAAAAGTTGGGTTTTGAGGAATCTCTTGTTTCATAATTGTTGAGCTTACTTCCATTTTGAGTGAAAGTGTTGGGGTGAAGAGATTCGAAAGTCGGATCCACCAGAAGACGACGTCGGAATCCTGTTGACCAACTGCCCATTGGCTTTACTGGAAGATTCATGCTGACGCGGTTTCCGAGGAAATCTCCTTGATTCCGGTGAAAAGGTGCTAGACTTTCGTCCATCATATGAGGGACATCATCAGAGCAAGGTATCACTGTCATAACAAAATTCAAGCTAACGAGTCAAGCATAAATATTCCAGTAAAGCTAATCGTAATCTGGCCGAGAGGAATGCGCCGTCGTCTTCTGGCGGAACCAATCTTTAAATCTCTTCACGCAATACGTTTACTCAAAATGGAAGTAAGCTCAACAAGTAAGAATGATACCCTCGTCTGATGAAATCCGTCATAAGACAAACAAAAGCTCATCAAGTCTTCACTGGAATCCAAACTAATTGCCACTGAAACAGCTTCAACAAGAATGTTCCAGTAAAGTCAATCGTCATCTGGCCGAGAGGAATCTGCCGTTGTCTTCTGGTGGTGCTGACCCTCGTAAATCTTCGCCATGCCCTTCCACTCTAAATGGAAGTGAGCCCAACTACCTTTTGCAATTTAGATGAACTATCAAAAGTGGCCTAGTTAACTGAAGTTTGGCTGGGGACTACATTTGTCTACATTTCTATTGTACCAATCATCCTGGAATAAGAAAATCTTTGGCTGTTATCTATGTCCAGAATGGGGCCCAATAATCCGTTACATAAGTGGGATAATAAGAATCACAAGTGGTCTCAAAATGCACACCTGTACAGGCATCAGTCTCCAGATCGACCCGGGGGTTTCTGTAGAAGCCGGGCAGACAGGCGCAGGCTACCGGGCCTACGGACCGAGGCAAAAGCAGTTCGACGGTCTGTTCGGACGTCGACGCCGAGGCCGTGGCGGAGGTGAGGTCTCTTGATGGACCAACAGGGTCGGTGGACATCGCGTCGGCCAGCTGGGCCTGGCTTGGCCGAGGGTCCGAGACGTCTCCGGCGGCTCGACTGGCCTCGAAACTGACGCCGGTGACAGTTAAGACTTCAGACGGTCTGGCGTAGTGACGTTCCCGGCGTTGGTACTCAGCCAGGGGGGTGTAACTGCTGCGGGAGTTCCGTGGGCAGACTTGACAGAGACCATCGCCGGGGAGTGGCTTGAACTTGCCCTCGGCGCAGACTGGAACGGGGGGTAAGAGAAAGCGACAGACGATGTAACGAGAATGTGTGGTACCTACTTTTCGTCTGCTCGGAGGAAGGGGTCACTCTTTTTAGTTGCCATAGTGCCGGCAAGTATACATAATTAATTGGTGAATCACGACCCGGTGTCGAGTCCCGTTGGAAAAACTGATGAGACTTGGGCGAGGTTGCGAAACTGCGGTATAGTTCAGCATAAATAAGGTGAGCTTTTGGAAGGCTTTGATGAGTGCTTTTTGGTAATTGTTGGTAAATAATGGCTTCTGACTCTGATAATGTCCGTCACATGACGGGCGAATGCTCAGCATGGATGGTTCTGGGTCGCATGACGGTGAGCCGAGGTATTCCTCGAATAATCCAACCGTCACAAGTCATAGGCAGCCTTCCTTCGGTGTCAGGTGCGGCAAATTTATGAATCTCTTCCAGCCTTTTTTTCAAACGAAATTAAATATATACCATCATCAACTTCTAAACATCATGAATACTACTTATATCGATAATAAGTTACTTAAATGATTACAGGCAAATACACGTTTGCTAGATAATTAATCATACTATACATTGCAAGTTGCAAGAGGCCCGAGACGCCTTGAATGTCGCATCTGTTCTGTTACGCTTTGGCTACGGTTGCCAAGATACGCACGATCCGGAGGTGCTGATAAGATCTAGGTGAGGCAGAAAATGCTTCCCAAGTCAAGATAAGATTTTTTTGGAAACAAGACCAAATGGAATTCAATAGCATTCTGAGGCCTACTTATTTGATTGCGGGAAAAGATTAACTATTAGTTCTTAAATCACAGGAGGTTCCCATACAACTCCATGAACACTCTGATCTGCCTATGCTAGCCTGGATACAACCGAAAAAGACTGGTCAGCTAATCTCGTCTTGTTGAGGTGGGCCAGATTGCGCATATATCCACGATCAAGTGTAGAGGAAAGGCCTTTTTTTTATTATATATCTACACCTTGTCCCATGTATCCCACCTGGCCGCCCTTCCCATTTTGGCTGGATCCTAGTCTCGACCTCGCTCCTTCATCACCTCATCACCCCCAGCAGACTTGACCTGTGCACAAGTCTCATCAAATTGTGGCACAAGACACGCACCATACGCTTTCGAACTAATTGGTCTTCGAAGCTATCAGGAAATTTATAAATAAGAGCATAGTCAGCCTATAACAAGACTTTTAGTCACCATAGGACCATAAAGATGTATAAAGATTCGTAGTTGAATTTTCCCACAACGATGTGGAGGTGTTTTTCATTTCCACTGAATTTCATTAAGATTTGCTTTCCCAAAAGGTATTCTCATTTAGATTAGAATGGTTTGTGTTGCATTTCAATCTTGCCTTGGCCAGACCTTCCCCATATCAAAATTTTAATGGGATTATTAATAAGACGAACTTGGATTTTTTAACTACAAT